TTATAGAAATGCATGATTCAAGGTATCATCATAGTAATCATCGACATACAGTGCATTTTGAAGATTATTGCTAGGATTCAAATTGAGTACCTATTTATAGGATTTTCTTTTAAATGAACTTTGATTGGTTCATAATAGTGTGAAGTGTGAAGTATTTTTTTTTAATAATAGATATCGCTCTCATATAATTCATAAAGTGGGCACAAGCCTCATTACAATATGTAAATGAAATGCAAAAATGATTAATGAAGAAAGAGTAACATTGTGAGGAAAGGCACAACACAAATTCAAGAGGATGCCTTGAGAGGTACAATCTCTATTTTGTTTAAAAGTCTATGAATGTTCTCTAATTGCTTAAATTTCTATCGGTACACGGCCAATGAGGATGTCTTATTTGGCCAAAATTTCATTAAATTTTCATCTCGTGTAGTGACATTGCTGTTTTTGTTGTTTGCTTCTTTAAATCATCAACATTTGCATAATATGACTGAGCAAGTTTAATCTCTTTTGTCCCATCCTATTGTCAATAAGGAATATGATATAACTAGCATGATATGTGACACACACCAAGTGCTATGTAACATAGTCGGCTCACGCAAGTATACGTGGCGTATCAGTAGTACTGGGTTGTAGTTCGTTTGCCGATCCCTTAGGGAACGAGATGAATTCTATTAGGAAAAATTCTATCGTTTGCCGATCCCGTAGGGAACGAGATGAATTCTATTAGGAAAAATTCTAGCCTATAGATATTAGTTCTAGCTTGAAAGGTTCGAAAAACAATTTCAATTTTAAACCTATCCTAAATCTGTGAAAAGCAGGTATATCCCAACAAACAAAAATATTCTTTTTAAAAGTCAGATGTTAAGAGTTTTCCCTTTTTAATTCATCAAGTGATGGATAAAACTAAGGACTAGATTAAAAAATAGTCTCAATTAAGAGAAAAATTTTTTCTTATCCCCTTTCGATGGTCTAAGGAAGATTAGCAGTCTCAAGTTTAGATCCCTAAAACTCTTGATCTGATCAAAAGAAAATATCTCCTAGAAAATTGTATAAATCCATTGACAATGTCCTTATTTCAATGAGTTGATGCGGTTAACTCTTTCGTTTCATAAATAATCCTTCCATATATCAATATTCACGATAGGTTTTAGCAATCAACCGACCAAGTAGAAAATAAATTAAGTTCTCATGTTAACACAACACTTTTAATACCGATCAAAGCCCCAAACAATCTCAAATCCATAGTCCTATCCAATCACCATCTCAATTTAAGAGAGAGCAAGTAGATTACTCACTATTCATGAGATATCACATCAACACAATTATTTTCATTAAGAAAAACAATCATACACCAAATCTTTTACAAAGAAATCCAAAAAAAATAAACTTGACTGTATTTATCCTCTTCCCAAAGAAAATGATGCGATGAATCTTAAATAGCAAGTAGGAAACTTTCTCTCAATCTCTCAATCTCTCAATCATTCTTGCTCTTGTAATCTTCTTGTAGAATTTTTGGCCTTCTCCTTTAGTACTCTCCTCTCCAGTTTTGCAGAAAAAAAAAAGAACAAGAAAAACCCATCTTAATTCATCATGAATATTTTATATTTCATCTCCAGAACAAACTGCTCAAAATTATCAATTTTCAGTTCTGACCAAGACGCCCAGTGGTTGGCGCTAGGCACCACTTTGGAAGATTTTCATTATGGTTCTAGCGCCTAGGTGCCGGTGTGTAATGCCTAGGCATTGCATAGGCAGCATCTACTTTCTGTTCTTTCGGGAATTTGGATAAGTTTTGGCCTGTTTGGGTGCCTATGCGCCGCTAGCCTGACACCATATTTTCATGCTCTCTGAATTGTGTCCGACGCCTTGGCTCCATTGGCCCGACGCCTAGACGCCATACCACAACATTTTTCATTTCAATCTTTGTGAGCCCGTTCGATCCTGTTTTTGCTGCAACCTGCAAAACAACACAAAAACCTTCCTCAAGGCGTACCATTTTCATATGAAATGCAAACATATATAGAAATTTTATACAAACTTTAAGAATAGTCAATATTTTCTGTTGATAGAATGAATGTATGAAAAATGCAAATAGCAGGATTCTAACTTTAAATAATGCAATGTAATTCACAAACTTGGATTTACAAAGAATTTAAAGAGCAAATATTGCCTTTTATTTTGCCTATGGAATTCGCACATTGTGGTGTTAAAATACTTTGGATTCTACTAATACTCGACTAATTCAACAAATACTCTACTAGTAAGTATAAGACAACTTAATTTTAATTTATTTTAAACAAATTACAGGAATTTCAGATTTAGAAAAAAATTGCATTTAGGAGCGAGTTTTATTTTAATTATTTTTATAAATTGAATGAATTTCAAAATTTGAAGGCTTTGTTAGGATTCAGTGTGTTTAATCGAATAGAAGTGACCAAGTGCAATTCAGTGTGTATTTGACCTACCTGTGATTTGATTTCACCCAATCAAAGCAATTCAAGCCCAATTGAACTAATCAAAAAATTAACCCATTTAACCAATCCAACATAAATCCATCAGCGATGAGGAAGAAAGCATGTAGAGACTACAGGTCTCTTTAGGACATCTTTTTGACTGCGTTGTGTTTCAGAACATCACCACAGGTCTATTTGGGGACTTATTTTCTTACTAATTTCTAAAAAAAATTATAGCAGGAAATTATTTTTTGAGGTAATGACAATGTCGATGGAAGAGGTAGCAAGAGGCAATGTTGGGAAGCTCAACTAGGGAGAGAGGAGCTCTTGTGCATGAGCGTTACGTCTTTGGTTCATATTAGAATCATCTAAGATAGGGAAAAATCTAAACGCGATAGGCGCACGTCTCAGCCATATTAAGGCGAGGTGACCTCAATAATGAGAGGCATATGTCTTGCCCGAGCCGCTTAAGGCGCACACCTCAACTCGTTTTTCATCGGAATTGTGCACCTAAGCCTTTTTTTCCGGAATTGCATAGTTTTATATAAGTGTACTTGCTGATGGCTTTGCATTGATTAACTCTTGTATGTTTTTACCATTTCTTATTTAAAGTGCTTTTTGAATGAGTATTTCTTACGTCTTTCATGCTATTGATAATAGAAATATTTTTATCTTGTTGTAGTTGTGAAAAATATATATTTAAAATTTTTTCATTAAGCAAGCGATTTTATATCTATTCGAATGCCACTTCTATATTTATTTTTTTATTTATTTTGGTGTGTGTTGCATCTTTCAGTTGCGGTATTGAACTTATTGAATATCAATAGCTGCGGACTGTGCTAATCCATTCAGGGTGGATTGGAACCGAACCTGTCGTATGCCTTGTTTTTCTATGTAATTTTCTGTCTCACCTGTTTAAATGTGGTAACTGACCCGTAATTAGTGAGATTAGGCTAATGATGGTGATAATGATGATAATTTCTTTTTGCGGGCAATAGATTACCTGTCTGGATGAATGTTGGAGCTCAGCTAATGCAACTAATTTAATGACTGAATGTTAGATCCACCTAGGGTGTATTTTTGATTGGTTAGATCGGATTCGGTCGATAGATTTGTTAAACCTATTGAACTAAATTAAATTATAGGCAAAACAAAATTGAACAAATGATAAACAGAATCAAACCATAGTGTAGCTTAGTATATTTGGTTCGGTTCTCGTTTAACTGAATTTGAAAAAAGAAATGTTCAAGAATTGGTTTGATGATGAAAATACCAAAATCAAATGAAATATAAGGAGAAAAAATAGGAGAGAGGCCAAACCTAATTATATATATGAAAATACCAAAATCAAATTGAGTACCTATTGGTTCTGATTTACCTATATTTTGGTTTAACTAAAGTGCTTTTCCTAAAACTGAACCAAAAATCAAAATCTAAATCACTCTTAATTTAAAACCAAAAACCAAATCACCCTTTAATGGAATGATCCAAATCAACCAAATATACTAGATCTATTTCAGTTTTTTTTTTTTTTTAATTTAAACCAATTAATGCACACCCTTTGATTCATCTATTGTAATATTATTGAAATATCGGTTGATTCTTGTTATTTCTCATCTCTAATGCATCTGTTGTGATCCCATTATTTAGTATTGCAGATGAGAAATTCTACTTCATTTTTCTTATTTCAATTGGAACTGTCCAAATCCTGCAGAAAGAAACATGCTTGCATTTCATTTTATTATAATTTCATTAAACTAGTAGAAGACCTTTTCCTTTTTGTTGATTCTGTTTAGGAGAAGCTCCATGATCAAAAAATTTTCCTAAAGTGACGATTCTATATGACTGGGCAGTGTAATTTGTTGGCAGGGTTGATGTGATTAGAATATTAGACTCATTTTTATTTCTCTTTTTGTTTTTGAATATATATATATATATATATAGATATATATATATATTAGCTGTAAATTAGAATATGGGATTTGGAGAAGAAAATGATTCTGTGATGAAATACATCCTACAATCATTTTTAGTTGGGGTTAAGTTGTGGAGCCTAATTTATTTTCTTACTCGGAAAAATGTCTACGCAAGCTTATCGCCTTTTTCAAGACTGTTTTCTGTTTGCTTTGAGGTTGACTTCCACATCAGTTCTGTTCAAGGAACTGCCTTTTAGCTGTTTTTAGAAATTTTTTGTGATAAGCTGCATTTTGCAATTGGATCTGTAAGGTATAGTGGCTGTAAGAAACTTCTCTGATTTTTGAGGAAAAACTAAATATTTATAATTAACACCCGCAGTTTTTTAAGAAATTGAGTTCTCCACAATAGTTTTACAATCACCTTTACGAAAAGACTTAGCTGTCCCTAAGAGACACGTAGTTGTAGAGGTGGATTATTTCATCGAGGGTGTTTCGAGAATATTTGCAAATTAATCTTCTTCTCTATTTTCTCTTCTTTTTGCCTCATATTCCAATAAGTTATGCCAATACCAACATTTGTGACACCGAATGTTTTTGCTGGATCATGATCATATTCCGATTGTGGATGCAGTATTTGCTTATTACAAACCGGCTGATATGGCCATGGTTCTCGACGCACTTACATCTCCGCACAGGAAATCTCAAAGCCCATTCTCGTTCTCATCATCTTCGTCACGAAAGCATCGAGACGAGTTGGGAAGCTGGTCGAGTCTGTTCGAGCGACATCGTTATCTCTTGACAATGCTGGCCTTATTGGCATTCCTCTGCACCATCTACCTCTATTTCGCAGTTACATTAGGTGCCACAGATTCATGCTCTGGACTCTCTGGTGCAGACAAGGCATTGTGCATGGCGAAGCTGATACCAAAGAAAGGAAAGTTGAAGCTTTTCTAACTCTTTTGTTCTTCTCAGAACTCAGCATAACCAGAAGTTTGAATGTCTATTCCATCTATACTAATAATTTCTTGAGGAAGATTTATCTGCATACCACTCAATTCTTTATCTACTTACATATCTAACCCCTAAACTTCAATTATTACTTATATGCCACTTTATCTTTGCAGGAAAAAGATGTATTTCACAGTTTAAAGCTAAAATAGTGGTATTTTTGAGTTGATGTAAAAGATTTTGGTGCCATAAATGTAAAAAAAAAATCAAATTTTGGGTGTTGGATATGTAAATGAATAAGAATTGGGTGGTATGCATGTAAATGCCCTTTTTTATTAATTTACTCTCTAGACCATCAGTGAGTATTATATTGTTTTATTGTTACTGCCAAACTATGTTTTGAGGTTCAAAATAATATTTATAGCTATTATTGATTCTATTTGGCATACACAAATATATATATATATATATAAGTTATTGATGCTAGTATTTTTTACATGATGTTAAAGATTTAAATGCTGTGCTTGTAAATATGAAATATAGAGGTTAGATATGCAAATGCCTAAGAATTTTGTGGTTTGTACATAAACGCTCCTCTTTTTTAAATTTTTATATGTTTTAATTATAGTTTCAGTTAGTAAAATTGTCTGCAGCATTTAAATTACATAAATAATAAATAAAAATTCATAAAATAAATTGCCTTAATGCCTTCTTCTCGTCTTAAAATGCAAAATGTCTTGAAGGGTTGGTATATTAATTGATTTTCTCCCTAGCCTTCATGATAATTTGATCTGTCCTACCATTGATTTTCGATCAATTTTTGACATTCCCATCTAACAATCAGTAAACAACTATCAATTGCTACTTGACTTTGCTAAGTATGGTGGATGTTAGAAAGTTGTTGTCGAATTTTTTGGAAAAAAAAATTTGTAATAGCCACAATAGCTTTTTGAATAACAGCTTCTTCTGCAACTGTTTCACAGTTGCTTTTTCAAACGGCTATAATTCTCTCATAATATTTGATGTATTCATTCGACTATTGATCTAGTGTTTGATATCTAATAGCTATTTGGTAAAAAACTCACTTCACTTTCCTCAGTATCCTATTATTTGAAAGAATGATCAAGCAAACTATTGCCTTGTGATTGTGGCCCCATTCGATTGTTATTGTTTGCCTTTTAATGTTGGTTGTATTCTACTCTCAGACATGAGACGTTCATGCTAATTGTAACACTCTTGTTTTATTATGAGAATGATTAAGCGAGACAAGTCATAATCTTAATGTTTGATGTATCCAATTGAGGAATTTTTTTCTTGTTGTTTTTTAGAAATTTGTGTGATAAAAAGCAGTTTTATTCAATTTGAGCTGTTTAAAATGTGGCGGCTGACAGAAAGCTACGGTATAACTTTTTGAAAATAAAATGAATTTGTAATATTTGCCGTATATTTTTGAAAAACTGTTTCTTATGCAATAGCTTCACAACTGTTTCTTCAAACAACTATAACTTGATTGTCATTTGACCTTTGTTAATGTTTAAAATCTAAAAACACGCAGATATTTGATATTTGGCATCCACCTTCCTGGGTGAATAAATTTAAAGAATAATTACTTACATAGGCACCCTAAGTGATCATTTATATCACTCATGTGATATTTTTGAACTATCTAATCGTTGTATTTATACGGGCCACAATCAAACCATTAAGAATTTGATTAAAAGAATGAAAAATATTGGTTGGGGTTTATCATGAATTTTGATATTTGAGCGAGAATTTTAAAAAAGAAAGGGATAAAAGACGATGCTTGATCCGTAAATAACAATATTTCGAGTGCTATTTCGTAATTGCCTCTAAAATTTAAATTATAAAATTCTTAGGTCTTCTCATAATTATTTTAAATTTATTTTCATTTGTGAGATTTTTGTTGGACATCAAGGCTGAAAAAAGTTTATATTTTAAGATCACAAACAAGTGCTATATAAAAAAAAAAAATTACACTTTGCCACATAATATTATTATTTGACCTTGAGAAATATTATTAGTGGATATGTAAATTCATAATAATTGAGTGGCATGTATGTAAATCTTCCTGTTATTATTTAAACTGTATTTTAATCCAATATTCTCTCATAAAATATTATTATTATTATATTATTATTATGGAAAATTTACATATGCAGCTAATAATTCTCATGTATTTATATATCTCAACCCTAAATTATTATTTTTACATTTATAATAATTTTTGAAATGATATATTTGTAAATATTAAATTTTAGGTGCTAAACATATAAAATCATAAGAATAGTGTGCCATGCAACTAACCATCATTATTACTACTCTTAAAACCTAAACCCGGAAGGAAAGAAACCAGTGGGATGGCGGGTTCCGGCGAGGTCCAACTGCACCGCTATCCGCAGTCGAAGTCTGTCGACGCCGTCCGGTGGCTCCATCCTGTCTCAGCCTTCGACGGCTTCATTGCCGCCGCTGTCTACGACACCGACGAAGCATCCTCATCCGTTGAGATACATTCTGTACGCCGCAACAACGACACTGAAAACCCTAACCGCAGCAAGCCTTCTCTCCATCTTCGTTCCGAATGGCCATCTCCATCCCGAATTTCCTCCTTACGAACCTCAGAGACCCCTCAGGGGCGGGCTGTTGCCGCACTGTCCACATGCGCTGGATCCGTTCACTTCATATTTGTGGATCCGATAGATGGGTCCGTGGACTTGGAGCTATCGACTGATGAGGATCAGCCTCTGCACAATGGATCGGTTTCTGTTGTGGATCTCCAGGATGGTGGGCATAGGTGCCTGAGCGTGGGTGAGGATGGGAGGGTGAATTTGGTTTCGGTTGGTGAAGGAAGGCTTGATAACCAGAAGGTGCATGACAATCGGGGGTTGGTGTCTTATACGGCAGTGAAATGGGGGTCACAGGCGGAATTTGCCACTGGCGGATTTGGCTTCGGGTTGCAGTGGTGGGATCTGAGGAAGCCTGAGGGGTTAGTTTCTCAGCTTAAAGGAAATTGGTGAGTGCTTCTGGTTCCCTGTCTTTTTTTTAGTGTATTAGAGCTTTTAAACTCTGAAGAGCTGTTTGGCAACAACTAAAAAGTAGGATTCAGTGAAGTTTGAGAATCAGAATTTAGAAAAAAACTTTCGGTATGGAATCTGTTAAATCTAGCTACATCCTGGTATATTGTTAATTCTTTATGTGTTAGAATCTTGTATTTAAATTTATATGAGAAAATAGAATAATAGAATTTATGCTAGGATGTGGTGTTAAGCCTAAATGATCCTAAAAATTAGCGGAAAAGAAGAAGAAGATAGAGAAGATAGCATGAGGATATTACAATGATAACTGCTATTAGTCTTTCAAGATTAGGTTTTTTGAGTGTTGGTTGATCTATAGTACAAGATTCCTCCAGCACACTACCAAAATTGATAAATCTGTCTTTGAGTGTTGGAGACAATCTTGAGCTGATCAAGTTTCTTGAAAGATTCATTTGATCTATAGTACAAGATTACCTCCAGCACACTACCAAAATTGATAAATCTGTCTTAAGGAATGTTTTATCTGGAAGATATTTTGATGCCTTATTCAATAAGTAAGCTTGAAGACAAGAGAGAAGTTTGAAAGCAACTCAATGTAGCCTTTTTGTAGAGAGTTAAAACAAAGTGAAGAATTCTCTTCCTCTCTCTCTTGCGGGGTATTTATAATTTTTTAGGTGAAGGGCGCTTTGATACTCATTGTAAAGCCTATAATGGATGGATGGATGCAGCAGCTCATCTTTGAGATCCATGCTGAACCAAAAATCTTTGTCGTTTGGCCAATTCAAGTTTGAAGAGTTAAGCTATGTTCTCCTTAAATTTGGATTAGATCATCATGCATATATTTTTGGATGATGAACAAATCAGAGGAGGCATTATATTTCAAGATTGGTAATGTTGAAGATCTTATTTGGATAATCAGATCTATAAAGGTGGTTCTGGGATTGGTGTTGCCGATGATTTGAAGTGAACCATCAAAATTTTATTGATGCCTTAAGATTGATGTTATATGTATGGATTTAGTGAAGGATATTGACACATCTTATATCGATTTAACAGCCAAATTTAGAATTTTTGTTAAACCACCATAAACTATGAAACTAAAAAAATCAATAAATATCATAACACAATAAAGTGATATCATTTAATCTTCTTTGAGGACTCTAGATTTCAAAGTGATTTAATCAAACTATGAAGGTGAAGGAAAAAGGTTTAGAAAAGTTATCTCCCTTGTCTATACTTGAAGTTGACACCAAAATGAGAGAGAGAGAGAGAGAGAGCTTGATTTTTGAAGCAAGAGATCAACACCAATTTTGAATGCAGCAAAATATTGCCTGAGGGTGTAAGATCAAGGGGGCAAGAGAGAATTATGCAAGCTACAAGGCCACTTAAATAAATTTAAAATGAAGAGAATGTAGGGTTCGGCCAGGGCAAGAAAAAGAGAGGGAAATTTGTTTAAAGCAATAGTTTGTTTTTCAAATTTTAATTTTCATAAGTTAGATTAAATTAATTATGATGTGGAATGGCCAAGAGAGAGAGAGAGAGAGAGAGAGGAAGGAAAAATTGAGTTCAAATAATGAAAACTGACTTAATTAAATATATGTTTAATAAAAGAATAATTTTAATATGATTTAAAAATAAATCACTTTAACATTTCTCCATGCATGAGACGCCCAAAATTTTCCAAAAATGGTTCAATCAAGTATTAATGCGGGTTATATGATGGATTTAATAAATCATTTAATTAATATTACGAATTGATAGAAATTTGAATTAATTAAATCACATGAATTGAATTAAATCATATATATGGGACAACCCAATTTTTTTCTTATTAAGATTAATTCAAATTACTTTTATTTATTGCAAATCAATTTAATTAAATCATGAGAGGATGATTTGTAGATTATTTGAAATTTTAAATAATTTTGAATTCAAAAAAAGAGGCTGACCTTAATAGTTTCCATAAATTTAAAAGATTTTTATTGGAAAATTTTTTATTTCATTTAATTTCGAAATTCAAATAAATTTGAATTATGATAAAATCAATAATTTATTTTTTTATTTAAATTTCATATCCCAAAATGATGAAAATTTAACCATATTGTGAAGATTTTGAATATTAATTGAAATTATTGGGAGGAGAGAAAATGAGTAATTTTGATAATTTAACCTGTATTACATGTTAAATAAATGGATAAAAAATTTTTTGTGCATGAAAATTAATTAATGAAGTAATAAATATACTCAATTGGAATTTAGATGAAATGGATTAGGCTTAATTAAATACAATTGGTCAACAACAATCCTCAATCCCTCTAAATGGGGTTGGCTACATGAATCTCTTTTCTCCATTGCATCCAATTAAGTCTCATATGTTCATTCAATCCAAAACTACAAATGATCAAAATTTTCAAAAATGCTATTTTCATGAAAATGAAAGAATAATATAAATTAATTTTTGTAAAAATATTTCAAAAATTAAAATAAATATGATGAGAATATTTTAGCATTTTTATGAGCTCATATCTGTCTTATTTTGTAATTCCTAAAAAGATATCAACTATTAAAGTTTAGGCTGTTTTAATTATGTAGTCTACCTATATTTTGATCTTAGTAAGCTTAGTTGTATTCATTTTTTAATGTGGAAGGCTAAACAAATGTGATTAAATCTATTAAATGTTGAAGGCATTTTCTTAGTGATGATGGTTAATTTAAAAGATTCTCTTCATATAAATCTTTAAAATCACATCATATTTGCTCACAACATTATGCAAATTCATAAATTTAACAATGTTATTTTTAATATAGAGTTATTAAAGCGGAAATAAGATTTTGTTTTCAAATTTTGGTTGGATGTTAGGTACACTATTCACCTGAAAAAGTTTTTGGTTTAATATGTTTTAAAAAATTTTTCCTTTGCTTTTTGTGCTTGTGACAATTAGGTTTTTTTTAGACGATTATCATTTAAATCATGTTATTAGGTTGCTCGGAATAATATCTGTTTCATATAAATCATGTTATTAGGTTACCGTCATGACATATAGCAAATTTAATTGATACTAATATTCTCTGTCTGCCAAAAATTGAAGTCTTTTCTACCCATAGATATGGTTATAGTTTTAGTTTCGTGCATTCTCCAGTCAATATAGCCACAACATTCATCAAACTATCGTTGTAAAAGATAGATCACATATTTAATCCTTCTTACAAATTTGAATTATAAATCTCAGTCCTAATTATTTACTTCTACCATTTAAAAAAATATCTAAAAAGCATTGTGAAAATCACTTAATTTTTATATCAAGTAGATGGGTATCATTATTTTTGTTCTTTTCTCTATCAAATACCTGTATGATGACTTATGGATATTTTAGGTAGATTTGTTTTGCAATATATTCTTTTTTTATGATTATTAATTATAGTGTTGCTAGTTTTTTATACAAGTAGTGTAATAGCTTGTTTGTGTGCACTAGCGATAAGACAAATTTTAAGTGTAGTTGTAATCTTCTAAGCTGAGTTTTCATCATTTATTAAAATTTAAAATAAGTTGAAAAACATACTCATCATCTTTCGCTTCATTAGCTTCATCACATCTATTTGGGGGGTTTAATGAATCATGGTTTCCTATTCATTTTGATTGAGTCCTGAAAGATGCTAATTTTTTTTTTCAGAATTATTTTTGATATTTTTTAGTTCATCCAATTTGTCTTCAGTCGCCTGTTTTCCTTAACTAATTTTTTGCACTAGTATAATCTACTCATCTAATGGTTTTGCAATTTCCATCCTCATTGTAATCTATTTTACTTTGTTCTTATTCTTAATTACATTAATAACAATGCATTAATTATTGTTAGCACACAAAAAGAAAACTATTATGTTTGCTGTTTTTCAACTTGCTTTGGATTTTAAACAAATGCTGAGATCACGTATTGCTAAAAGATTTCAAAAGTTTCACTTGAGATGTATCTTATCATCAACAGATAAATGAAATCCATATCATCTTTTGTATTAAAAAGTAGTAGTTTATTGTTAATTATGATAACAAACGGAAAAATGTTACCAGTTGAAAAATACATTCGATGGATAAAATTTTTTTTTACCACATTATTATCAATAATGAAATGAAAGGAAAAAAATTAGCAAGTTGAAAAACATGTTCAGTGAATTTTGTTACTTTTATTTTAAAATCAACACTTAAACATATTCTAAAATAATTTTTTTTTCTTGGTATATGTTACAATTTTAGATGTATTAATGAATTTCCAAATTTTTTTTTTATAGATTCAATAATATTTATGCTTCTTCAAAGCATTAAGATCACCAAACAATTGATCATATTAAGATAATGGAAGTTAGTTTCCCTGAAGGGTAATTTTGATTTGTTCTTAAGTTGATAAGCAATCTTAGTTTTTTGCTCATTGGATGTAGTTTGCCACTCAAATAAGTTATATATATATTTGTAACTTAACAAAAACTATAGGTTATATTTTGTCTTCTAATGTATGACATTTATTCTTAAAATAAAATTCATTAATAATGTTTGTTACTCTGTTTTTTAAATATCTCTACCATGATAAGGAAGCATCATAAGTTGATAACCTTGGTTAACGTTAACATGATCATTCATAGGATCGGTACATTATAGAGAGATTGTTAGTTGGTTATAGTTGTGTTTAGCCATATTTTTAAGATTAATTATGTCATATCTCGTTTGATTTTGTTCAAGTAATATTCTGATTAATTGTAGATCTACCAAAATTGTATCCTCTTGTTTATCCCTTAAACAAGCTTGACGTGGAGTCACTGGAACTTCAAGTAAACATTGTAATTTAATTTTTAAGCTCAAGCTTTGATTACGATTATGATGCAGTTAGTGCTGGTGCCTGTAGTTTCTACTGGAAATTTGATATGCAATGTAACGCTATGCTACATTAATGGATATGCATTACTTTTTAGAGGCATTGATATACATACGACACAATTCTTATGTATTTACATATCTAACATCTAAACTTTAATATTTTACATTCATAACACTCAAATTTGTTACACCTAATAAAAATTATCACTTTGCAAACTTTTTAACTCTCAATTGAGTGCTTTAGGTTTATAACACCGAATTGTTATAAATATAAATATCAAATTTTAGGTGCTAGATATGTAAACCCATAATAATTGTGTGGTATGAATGTAAATTTCCCTACTTTTTAATGGGTTTTAAGAGCATATTTAAGTAATTTGAAAAATTAAGACAATTGAAAGAAGTAACGTACTAATCTCATAGGGAAGCAATCTATCTAGCACAAACATTAATATCCTGCAAATGATGAATAATCTAACATAACTGCCATCTAATCACTACCAATCAGTTCCTTATCACCTAGTATAAAGTAATAATAACAACTTAAATTCATAAAAGAAACATATTTGATTTAGGGTGATTTTTGGGCGGCAGTGCAGTGCAACACTGTAGTTTTTCCTGTTTGGCAAAACTGTGTTTTGTATGCGTTCTCAAAAGGTCGCAGCTGAAAGCTGCTTTTTCTCACATAATTTGGCTACCTGCGATGACTGCTAGAAAACTGGGGTCCAACTTAAAAAAAAATTGTAATAGTCACCGCAGCTTCACAGCTGCCGCTTCAATCAATTACAACAGTCCAAAATAGACACTTAGATTTTATGCACATAAAACAAACTAGGAATGTAATAGGTCTAAATCGATCTCGTCACATATAATGTAAGGGAATCGAAGAAGAAATAAGAGAGAAGAGACTAAACCAAACAAGAAACCTTCATGTTTGAACACAAAGACGGCCTTTCTTGGAAGATTTGAAGACTTTCATTTTAATTGTGGAAGAGTAGTAATTTTAGATTCCAAAAGATAGTTTATTTATGATATAAATTATCTTATGTACCTCAAAAACATTTATTTAGAGATGGTTGTATCAATCAAGGATTATGTAGAAGCCATGGTACTCTCTATCAACAAGCTTTTATGTTGTTTAATAATCGAAGCAGCCCCATTGGATTATAATCTTGTGAAATGCCTCATTCGGTGAGGATCTCACAAACAGTCTAACTTCGTTGTTAGAGCAGGTAAATCTCAGATGCTTTGCAAGTCAACCATGGTGGAAACTGTAGAGAATTCCTCTGTAGTAATTTGACAGTACCACATGAATATGAGCTCATGAGGTACTTTGAACAATAGTAGCCACAATAATAGTTTGAATGAGAAAGATCCATCAACCTCAACACATATTTGTGATGTGCCTTTGTAATAATGTTTAAAAAAATTATGTAAACTTAAACATTTACAAACTACATGTTTGACTTAATTACAATACATATTTGTGATGTGCATTTGTAATAATGTTTAAAAAAAATTATGTAAACTTAAACATTTACAAACTACATGTTTGACTTAATTACAATTTCACACTTCTTTTGCATCTCTTACAGCATTCGTAGACTTTAAGTTTGCATCAAGTATAAAGAAAGGTTGACAATAAATTCTTCGAGATAACAAGCGATGAAAGTGAAAATTTGATACCGGAGTAATCCGAAAATAAGCAAGTACGATTTATTATTGCTGGAATTCAGAAAAAAATCTCAAGAATGGTTCATAAAACTGAAAATAAAATGAGACGAGTACAAACGGGGTCCCTATGGCTGGGGACGAAGGTGATGAACTTTGGCTGGAAAGTTGGTGTGGGGGTGGTTTGAGAGGCTGTGGCAGCAAGGAAGTGGAGGGCTGGGAGGATGTGGAAGCAGGGTAGGTGTAGGGGACTTGGCGGCAGCTGGTTAGGCACTGGGAGGACTTGGCGGCACCGTGAGGAAGGGCTTGGCGGCAGCAGGGAAGATGCAGGAAGGCTGGGAGGCAGTAAGGAAGCGGCGTACGGCGAGGGATTGTTGAGATAACTACCCCGTCAGAGCAGGATACAACCAGAGCACTGGGGGCAGTTCCCACCCCTTGAAACAGTTAACCGGTCCAGCCTCCTGCTGGACTGAGATCCCTGCTGATCCTGTAAGGGCTTGGCGGCAGCAGGGAAGATGCAGGAAGGCTGGGCGGCAGTAAGGAAGCGACGTACGGCGAGGGATTGTTGAGATAACTACCCCGTTAGAGCAATATACAACCAGAGCACTGAGGACAGTTCCCACCCCTTGAAACAGTCGACCGGTCCAGCCTCCTGCTGGACCGAGATACCTGCTGATCCGGTTGGGCTGGTTCAGCCAGGTCAAGCCCGGCGTCAAATTTTTGTACTCTGGGAGTTGGGGCAGGTCTGTCAGTTCATTCGAGTGGTTGGACGAACTTCGGTGCCATTGTATTGAACCTGATGCACCATGGGGTAGAAGGTGCAGCTGATGGAAGTTATTTTAATATCCTTTGTGTGGAGAGGATAGAGAGTTGTTTTCTTCTTATTTATTCTCAAACCCACTTGCAAGTCTATCTAATTTTCTTTACTCATTTATATAGTTAAAAAAAGGTGTAAAAAAAAAGAAACATGGAATAACAATTGTAATCTCCTTTGTGTTTCATGTCAGTTATGTAAAATGCAAATTTGGAAAATTCGCAGCTTCTCTTCATTTTGGAAATTATGAAACTGGTACTTTTCCAAGTTGTTAATTTTGGAAATCATGATTTTGTAGGGCTCAAGGAAACATGACAGGCATTGTGCATTCAATTGACATACATCCTTCCAGAAAGCATATTTCTGTTGTAAGTTTTCTTTTTTTTTCCCTTCAAACTAACATCATATTAAATTTTTCATGTTCTATTTTGGCATCACATTCAGATCATTTCCTTAACTATTGTATGGTATTGATATTTTCCCAATTTAACCTGTCTAGAAGTATGCCAGTTCCAACCATTATGAGAGTAGCTGTTCTGAATCAATGCATTTCTCATTATACCAAATATGCTTGTTGTCGTGAGAAGTGCAGTTATCACCCTGTAATCTTCTTGATTTTTTTATACAATATAAGTACATTAAAATCACTCTATTTCATCGGTTCTTATTCTTTATTTTTTGTGCTGGATTGCTTGGTTACTAATAGTTGTTTCTTCAAAACATATTCTTAAATTATTTGAAGAAAGTTTTTCATACATACCACTCAATTCTTATGTATTTACATATCTAACATCTAAACTTCAACTTTTGCATATAGACCACCTCACCTATGAATGAAGAGGTATATTTCACCTTTTAAAAGTTAAATAGTGTTATTTTTTGTGATATGATAATTTGGGTGGTGTAAATGTAAAAAAGAAAACTTAGCGGTTAGATATGTAAATACATAAGAGTTGGCTGCACCTTAATTGAAATAGTAATTGATGGTGTTGCATCTGTAGAAAGCTTTTCAGGGGAATTTTTTACCAAACGATAAGGTTCTATTCTGCAACTAATATGCTATTTAATGAAGCATTTTGATCTAGGATGAGGAGCTCAAATGCAAATCAGATCTGATCATTGTGAGTAACTATCAAATTCACATATTAATGATATAAACTTAAAGAGATAAATTTAATTGTTCTTCAAATATAAATCAGGAATCTTTTGGTTGTATTTTATAATAAAACCATGATTCATCTTTTAGCCAAATTAAATATTAGACTTGTGCGACGTTTAGGACCTTCAGGTAGGTTTAACATGTCAGTATCTTTTATCCCTGGTTCTATTTTCATGGCAGTCGTCCTCTTCATGTAAATTTATTATTTAATTAATATTTGACCATTTGATGAATTATTATTATTATTATTATTATTAATATTAAATACATTTTGGCTCTTTTCCATGGTTTCTTAATTTTGATGTGCCTGCACCAAAAATGGATTTTGGTTAACCAATGTGGTGTACCCTTTTCGTTAACCTAAATAGCTTGGTTTAGTTGTAACTAAGTTCCAAATATTGGTTACTATAATTAATTTTAGGCTAAACATTTTGGCCTACCCTAAAATATTTTCTAGCTGATTATCCTAGTTCAGTTGTGTTGGAAAACTTATTAAAACTATTGTCATCCAGGTCTTTTCCTTGCACTATCTGTTAATATATGCAGATTAAATATAGGGGCATTTACATGCATAACACCCAATTCCTATGTATTTACATATATAACACCTAAACTTTACTTTTTTACATTTTTGCCACCCAAATATTTCATATCTTCTCAAAATGACCACCATTTTGAATTTGAATTACTGAAATACACCTATTTATGCACAGTTATGATGGTTTAGGTGTTAGATGTGTAAATACATAGAAATTGAGTGGTATATTTGTAAATCATCCTTAAATATTTTAATCCCTAAATGTAATTTTTTGCATCCCTTAGTATTGTGGCTATCATTCCATTTGTTGATTATTTGTTTGTTTAATGTTTGAAGGTGGGTGGTTCATCAGGCACAGTTTTTGCCTGGGATCTAAGGTGGCTACAGGAGCCGATCTTACTTTCTGGAGCAACTGCAGCAGGACGATCCCCCTTTGAGAGTGAGATTTGGGAGATCCAATATGACATCCAAGCTCAGTCCTCAAGCATCAGCTCAGCTTCTTCCACGAAGATTTTACCCGTCATGTTTTGTTCAGAAGATGGAAATCTTGTTGTTGTTGAACAAGGTAGTTTTCCCCGTTGCGATGCATTTACATATATGGCACACAAGTTTTATATATCTACATATCTAACACCTAAAATTTAATATTTATGTTCATAGCACTCAAGTCTTTAGCATCGTAGAGAAAATGTGACTATTACTAAATTTTAAAAGTGAAATGCACCTTTTTATTTGTAGCACCAAGTTGTATCAAAGGTAAATATCAAAATTTAGGTGTTAGATATGTAATACATAAGAATTGTGTGGTACGTATGTAAATTTGCCACTTTCTTTTATTTTTCCAATTGAAATATGTGCTATTTTTTAATGAATACTTGATTTGAAGATAACCTGAAAGTTACTTGTTGATTGATTAAGCTGTAGTTTCTCTTATCATAAGGTAGTAATTGTCATAAGGATAAGCTTTCTTGAAGGTATGGCGTTAGATATGACCATTCGTAAGAATTGTGTGATACGTATGTAAATTTCTCTTTGTCATTCATGTTTGGAATTTAAATATGTGTTTTTTTTCCTTTTAATTGAAAACTAGATGTGAAAATTACTTGAAAGTTAACTTGTCGATTCATTAGCTGTAGTTTCTCTTGTCCTTAGTTTGAAAATGTGATGATGATAAGCTTTCTTGAAGGTGTTGTGCATTTACATACATACCACATAATTTTTATATATTTATATATTTAACACCTGAACTTTCATATTTACAGGCATATCATGTGAAATGCACATTAATATATATATATATAAAAGATTGACTTGATTCTTTTTTAATATTATTTCCCCTTGTAATATATATTAATTGATTATTGCTATCTTTCTCCAATTACAATTTATTCAGCTTTCTTGAAGGTATGGGGTATTTATATGTAAACCCCACAATTCTTATAATTTTACATGTTTAACAGCTAAACTTTCATATTTACATGCATATCACTTGAGTCTTTGACGACGACAACAATAACAGCAACAAAGCCTTAATCCCACTACGTGGGGATATTATTTTTTTTCTTTTTTTAATAGTGCAATGATTTGACCAATTAATATAAATTTTCTAATTTATTAAAAATTCCATTCCCTTTTTATGGCATCATTTTAATCATATCCTAATTATTATTAAAAGAATTTATATGATCGAATAATTATTTTTTCTACCTATACTAAATTCAATTTTAAAAATTAGTCATGTTTGTAAAGATTAGATCATGATAGTATAGATAATATTAAATGAATGGTTAGTGTTATGGAAATGTTAAATATGTAAGATTTGAACGAATGAGGCTTGAATAAAGAAATGAAAAAGAAAAAGTCTTTGAAATCATATCAAAATAGCACTGATAATAACTTTCAAAAACAAAACACACATTTTCTTTCGTAGGTTTATTACATCAAAGTGTTATAAATGTAAATATCAAACTTTTGGTATTTGATATGTAAATACATAAGAATTGTATGGTATGTATGTAAATTTGCCTTTTTATTATGTGCATTTCATGAGTTGCAAGCATCAAACCATCCTTTACAGTATTTTGGAACTAGTTTGTTGAAAAAAGATAATGATTTCCGCTCAGTGCATTCAGTATTCACTCGGAATGAACTTGCATTTTTTTAAGGTGAGATAATGTCTAATGGATAATGTCTTGTACAATGTCTAATTAGATTATAGATGTTTATCTTATTCGGAATCAAACTGATTGAATTTTGTTAATCATGATTCATTTTGCTTGTTTTAATCACATGAGTTCGAATGGGTTCACTAGGATTATTTATTTTTTTATTTATCTGATAAATTTGGTTACAGACCACACCATTCTTATATATTTACATTTTCGTCTGCATGTGAAACGCAAACAGTATAAGATCTATGGGTAATACAAACTTTGATTGATTTGTGGGTTTAGTGTTGTGTGTAAATATGAAAGTTTGTGTGAGATCATGTATGTAAAGACATAAAAAATTGTTTGCTTGGTATGTAAATTTTGGCATAAATTTAATGCTTTAGAGACCCAGTATGATCAAAATTTGCTTAGAATATTCGGACCTAAAGCTTATCTTTACCCATTATGCTTTCTATCCTTAGGCAAACCACCTATTGAACTGCTGGCAGAGGCATGTCCCATCAACTCTTTCGACATCGATCCACAAAATCCATCTGTAAGCTCTAATATATTATTATTATTAGTACTACTACTATTATCTCTCCTTTGATCTGCTTTTGCTTGCTTATTTGCAGGATATAATCTGTGGCTTCGGGTGGGAAAGCATTGGCGTTCTAATGAGGCCAAAAGAGGCTGCTTTAATTCACTGAAAACTAAAACTGTAAGTTTTATTTATTTTTTTATTTTGCTGAGTTGTGCTTTACTGAAGTGGATATAATTATATTTTCTATTTCTAAAATACAAAATAGAAAACCATCAATTTCTGAAGAAAATCGAAGCTTTGTTTGTGTAGCCTGAACAAACAAAGCATGGTTATAATATAGAAAGCTTTAGTATCATTATTATATTATTACTTGAAGATTATGAAATGCCTCATAATTATTAGATTTTGATTATTTTGGCTCATAAAGTATGACTCTGAAAGTTGATCCCTTTGCGATACCAAAATTTTTGGTTTTTACATACATGTCACCCAATTATTATATATTTATATATCTAACATTAAACTTATATGTATGGCATCCAAAACTTTAAAATCACATAATATTTCTAAAGTGGAGTACGCACATTAATGCATAGATTTACCACATAAAAAAGTTATAAATATATGTATTAATTTTAAGTGTTTAGAGATGTAAATACATAACACTATGTTAAAAGCAAATAATTCTTTCAACGGCAACAAGTATGGTAACAGAAAAATAAACTAAATCGAAATAACATAATAATCTATGTAATTATACCATTTAAATAACATTAATGAAAATACATCGCACTGTAAAATAAATATAACTTATAATCTACTATTATATATATGTTTGAACATTTGGTGCAAATCTAACATATGAAACTTTTATACAACGTTAAACATTTATTTAAGATTGACTTGATTCTCTTTTAATATTATTTCCCCTTGTCATATATATTAATTGATTATTGCTATCTTTCTCCAATTACAATTTCACATCCCTTAAAACCCATTTAATGCGCACGCCCAACTCTAATAACAAATTATTATTTTTTTCTTTTTTTAATAGCGGAATTATTTAACCAATTAATATAGATTTTATAATTTATTAAAAATTCCATTCCCTCTTTATGGTATCATTTTAATCATATCCTAATCATTATTAAAAGGATTTATATGATCGAATAATCATTTTTCTACCAATACTAAATTCAATTTTAAAATTAGTCATGTTTGTAAAGATTAGATCATGATAGTATATTTAATATTAAATGAGTGGTTAGTGTTATGGAAATGTTAAATATGTATGATTTGAAGAAAGAAAATAAAAACGAATGAGGCTTGAATAAAGAAATGAAAAAGAA